TGCACACCTCACAGCCCTGCGCACACCTCACAGCCCTGCGCACACCTCACAGCCCTGCGCACACCTCACAGCCCTGCGCACACCTCACAGCCCTGTGCACACCTCACAGCCCTGGTACTGTCCACACTGCCCTGTGCACACCTCACTGCCCTGTGCACACCTCACAGCCCTGCGCACACCCCACAGCCCTGGACACACCTCACAGCCCTGGTACTGTCCACACTGCCCTGTGCACACCTCACAGCCCTATGCACACCTCACTGCCCTGTGCACACCTCACTGCCCTGTGCACACCTCACAGCCCTGCGCACACAGAGCAGCCCTGGGCACACAGAGCAGCCCTGGGCACACAGAGCAGCCCTGGGCACACAGAGCAGCTCTGGGCAATGGCCACAGAGTGTTAAATCCCAACAGTGCCCTGGGATACAACTAGAACTGACTCCTTAAAATCATGCCAAAAAAAAGCATACAGAACTTTTAAGTGCTGAGCTGGGTAGATTCCCTCCAAAACAACCATAAACCAGAAACTAAATTAATTTCGATTCTGCCCCTAGGTAACTGTTCTTCCTTTAAAATTCTAAAACATCAGCCCTCCTTATTTTCACTAAAAGTCGCAAGTAATCTGAGATGAAGATTAACAGTATTCAAGATTCAAAAACAGCAAGTCACGTGGTGGTGACGCACGCCCTTAATTTCAGTACTCAGGAGGCAGAGACAGGTGGATCTCTGAGTTTGAGACCAGCCTGGTCTACAGAATGAGTTCTAGGACTATACAGAAAAACAAAAACCAAAACAAAAACCAAAAGAAAAAAAAGAAAAAGCAAACAAACAAAAAACGCCACAAATACAGCCAGCCATGGGACAAGCAGGGATCACACAGATCTTGTGTGGAAAGTGCAAAAGCTTCTATAGTAGCCCGTACAGGTCTGGGAGACAGTGAGTCTAGATGTACAGGAGATGCAGCAGCAGCAGCAACACTGTCTCCCAGAAAGGACACTGATGGAGGGAGGACATGTTTCACGTTGTCTTCACATGACAAAGTTCCTAAAGCATTAGCATATTTAGTAACAACATATGGATATTATAAATAGAAAACCAACTCGAAGAGTCACCAAAACTGTTAGGAGCCATGGCAATAGGCTCATGCCTAACAAGCCTGTCACTGGCTACATAATACATGGAACCCGCTCACACAGTCCTACATGCCAATGCAGGAGACGATGTAGGTTCCGGTGTCGACGGTCAGTCTGAGCCAACTCATCATTAATGCAAGAGCTCAGAACAGCAGCTGTACCACCAGGCAGGGGAGATCCTGGGATAAACCTGTTATGAGTATATACTTCCACTGTTTTGCAAGTCATAAACCAGAACGCTACAGAAACAGATTTGAAAAAAATGTAAGAATTAGGGCAATTAAGAAATGTTACCGTTAGGGAAAGCAGCAGAAATGTTACCGTTAGGGAAAGGCTACCTCACTGACTGGGTTTCTCCTTCTAGATCAGGCTCCCCACACTGTGTACTCGAGTGTCCTGACAACTCCACTGACAGTGTGCACTAGTAACAAATGCCCGGAACTGGGGGTGACCGTGTTCCTGGCCAGCAGATCACTCTGAAGAGCACCCCCTGAACACGGCTGCTCTCACTGCTATCCTGACATCTGGCAGCACTGGACCAAGGCCATGGACCCTGCTTCCCTCCTGCTCACTGCATCCTTGAGGGAGATGTTTTCACCAGCCCTGCCAGTATTTCCGTCACTTTGTCCTGCGTAACTCTGTTAAAAAGACATTGTACCAGATACAAAAGGCTGAAGACTCCCATTTCTGTGACAGAAAAGCACAAATAAAGGGAAAAATTAAACAGCAGAGGTTGGGAAAAGATGAGTGGGCAGTGACTGCCCAGGACAGGCACTAACTTCTTGGTAGAATGGAGCTATTCCATACGTTGATGTGGTGTTACATGCACATCAAAACATAGAAATAGAAACCAGAAAAGGGTGAATTCTGGCATGTGTCATTTATATTTCTAAAAACTGGACCCTCTTTTTAAAAGAAAAGAGTGCAGGCCACGACTCAGGGAATTACAAAGGGTGCAGGCAGGCAGCACACCAAGAAAAGATGCCATTACCTTAACGCACGCAGGTGTGTTTGCGTGTGTGTGCGCGCGCGCGTGTGTGTGTGTGTGTGTGTATGTGTGTGTGTTTAAAATGTATGATTGGCACCTATGGCCAAGTGTGGGGTGAATGGTAGGACGCTGACTAAAAATGCTAACAGCCCTAACTCCAGTCAGTGAGACTCCAGTGACTCTCACCCACCTCAAGGGGCTTTTCTTACTTCCCAGTTTTTCTTCAATTAAAACGTTTTGACTTTCTAAATCAAAGTTCAAAACAGAGACGTAGAGCAGAGGGTCAGTGAAAGCACATGTCCAGTATCTGAGTGAGGCTGAGCCGCAGAGTGCCGCAAAGCCCTCTGAATTCTGGGAGGATGACAGGGGAGTAGGTGAGCACATAGTCAGCAACCTTTGGTCAGCATGCTCTAGAAAGTTTGGTTTGATGAACTGACCAGTGAGGTTAATGTAGGAGACAGAGAAAGAAAAGGAGTTGAATGGGCAGACACTTCACAGTGGAGGATTGTGTGGTTTAACAACTGTTTCAGCCTGGAGCAAACATTTGCTATAAAATCTTTATTGTACAAAAAAGCAAAACACGGAACTAAAGCTGAATAAAAACACTCTGTAGTCATTATAGTGAATGCAGTCATTATAATGGATTTCTGACACTTCTCCTAAAACCACACACATACAAACCACAGGAAACAGGCTTACTTCAAAACTACAGTTTCTATGTACTAAACATTCATATGGTAAGATAGTTTAATAAAATTATCTGATGCATTTCCACATTAGGCTCTGTCCCCAAATACCCACTTAGCTGACTCTTGAGTAATATCCCAGGATCATAAAATACTTTTCACTCACACTCCAGACTCCATTTGCACCTGCCTGGGGTTAGTTCCAAACCACCACAAGATTCCTGTCTTTGGTTAGCTCATGGTCTAAGCTCTTCTTAGGAGTTCAGCATCACAGGTCAAGCCCCATCATCTTAAGGACATTCCTAAACAGGTGACCTACCTGCCACAAAGGGGCATTAAGCTGATGGATCACCACATTCAACTGATGGTTTCTTGCAAAGGCTACAATTGCATCATTGCCAGCAAAAGTACCAGGCTTTGCCAAACTGGCCACTGCATGGAAACAGGAGAGAAAAATGAAGTCTTTATGATGGAAAGTGCAAATGCAAACATGATTGGTATTTACGTGGCTGCAAGCCGTGAGAAGCGAGAACACACATCTGCAAAGGTGACCAGCTGTCAGTCTAGGGAGTTAAGAGGCGAACAATATGCAGACTGTACTCAGGGTTGCTCATCATCAGAGAAGGATCTGCTGATTAATTCCTTCAGGAAATGCTGTGTGCTTCCAATCTGCCCGACAGACATGGCGTGTACAACAGCCAGAGAATGGCTCGCACTAACCGATGTACATGCATGTGTCAAGCAGTGCTGATCATTTCTCAGAAACCATCACTTTTCATTATCAAAGCAATGCTTGGAAGGATTATCACACTCGCCACCAGAGAGATGAACAGATGGAGGTGAGGACAGCTAATGAAGGCCTGATCTTGGTGAGCTGAGCTTCACCCCAGCAGCTGACTCCACAGCCCTGGCTCGTGGCCACTCTGTCACTCTGCCCTGGAGAAGACTACTGTCAGAACAATATGGACAGTGTTGAAAACCGGGTGCTTCAGCAAAGGGCTGACCTGGCCTTTACCCCAGGCTTCTGTAAAGTAACTGCCAATCCTTTGGAATTTCCAAAGGAGGAGGGCACGTCGCTCTTTCATGATGGGCGCTGGACCACAGCTGCTAACAGACCATACAGCAGCTACATGCTACCACAAAAGAAATGGAAAAAAAGCAAACTCTGGACTCTGAGGCTGGAGCAGGCTTCCCTGTTGACAGCACTGTGTGTACTGCTCACTGAAATACCAAGAGCATAACATTTTCCAAAGACAAAGAAGCACTGTGCTTGGAACCTTCGGAGACCGGACTGCGCTGGACTGAGTCTTCCCCTGCGGCTGACTTTGGTCTGTTCCCTTTCCCACAAAACCACTGTTGTCAGAACAGCTCCCGTGAATGTGGGGCAATCTGAACCTTGCAGGCAGTGTCAGAGGTGAGGGAAATCTTACACAGCTGTGCCCTCGTACCTTAGCTTCAAGTCAAAAACACAAAGTGTGTGTGTGTGTGTGTGTGTGTGTGTGTGTGTGTGTGTTTAGGGAAGGGTGGAGGACATGGTGCATCAGATGAGCTGCTAGGCCGACTACTAAACATGCTCCAAGGCCAAGCAGGAGTTCAAAGGAACAAGGGATGATATTCCAAACAACAAGAGCCTGGACTATATTGTGTGGCAGGAACCAGCTGCAGAGATAGAGGGAGAAAACACAGTAAGAAACGGAGAGAGGAGAGAAATTAAAAACCACGGATCATGAAGGGCTATAAAGTGCAGGCTCAGACCTCAGGTCTGTGGGAAGCAGCAACAGACTTTGGAGGGAAACAAACTTGGATCACAACTCGGACTGATCTCAAACAGGCTGAAGAGATCAAGGGGACATACAGCCAGTCCACACTGCACTGAGGGTACCTGGTGAAATGGCTACCACACCAGTTTCAGAAGTGATGTTCTAGTTTCATCCCGTTGCTATGACAAACACCATGGCCAAAAGCAACGTAGAGAAGAGGGCTTATTTCATCGTACACTGCCGGGTCAGTCTGTTACTGAAGGAACCTGGAGGCAGGCTCAAAAAAACAAGCTGCTTGCTGGCTTGTCTCTGGCTCATCAACCTATGCTTAGCTAGCTCTCTTATGCAGCTCAGGACCACCAGCCTAGCATGCTGCCACCCACAGCAGGCTGGGCCCTCCTACATCACTTCACAATCAAGTCAATCCCCAACAGACATGACCACAGGCCAATCTGATCTAGGCAATCCCTCCACTGAGGTTAGAGGGAACCTCCGCTCCAGGTGACTCCAGGTTATGTCAAGTTGACAGAAAAAACTAAGCACACAGGAGGTAAGGGGAAGAGGGAACTGCAGAGGAAAAGGTCAGGAGACAAGGAACAGTAACAGGAGACAGACAGATGAGGCATTACAAACAGCTCGAGGTCTGATCCAGGTTTTATACAGATGGGAAGAGAAGGTGCTGATTCTTCAGAGCCACAGCCTAGAAGATGAGAATACTCCTGTAGAGCCAAGGGCAACAGTCACTTGGTCCTCACCAGTAAAGTGAGACATTCACTTATTAAACCAGCAAATACTATATGAATACCTCCAAATGTCAGGTATGGCTGGATCCGGAACAAAGGCACAACACCTTGCCCCTGAGAAACTTCCAGAATACTAAGGCAGACAGACATTCGAAACTGGTAACTGGTTAGGAGAGGTAAAGGCAATGGGTCTGACCCTCAGCACACCAGGATGTGCAGACTCCCTGCCGTACTTCATCTCTGCTCCGGCCGTCAAAGCCGTTTGTCACCTCCCTGATGCTCACACTTTGATGCATCAGCACTCAGTCATGCAGTGACATTTCAAGAAAACAACACCTCTCCACTGCACAACTAAAGTGACACCACACTGGCAGCCGGAGCTTTGAGCTCCTGTCCTGATACACTGGTACACCCCAAATCCACTACAAGACCTTTCCTAATGGTGTTCAAGTGGAATCAGGTCACGAACTTCATCCAAGTAACACTGAAAAGTGACAAGATTCTTCATTTTTTTTTTCTATGCAGGCTGGCTTCAGTCTCCTGATCCCCCTGCCTCAGCCTCCTGAGTGCTAGAACAAGTGTGTATCAGCACACCCAGCACCCAGCAACATGTCTCATTTTAAACAGCACAAAGCTCCAAAATCTGCCACACACACACACACACACACACACACACACACACACACAC